GGTGGTACATTCCAAGAAAGCAGAAGCTGTTCTAGCTCCACTTGCTTTGTCCAAGCCCTCGGTGGCTTAATGAAGGCTATTAGCACTGATAACAGCTGGCAGTGTTGTACATTTGCTGGCTTTTTCTTATAGCTCATGCCATTTATGCTACGGCTGTAGCCTCCTCTAAGCACCAGCATGGAAGAAGGCCAATGGAAGGGATTCATTGTGAAGGCTAAGACTGCTTTTCTTCTTCCTTTTCTTTTTAAAAAGGTCTTGGGTTGGGAGGATGAACCCATGTTAGAACTGGACTGACATGCCACCTGAACTCAGTTACTGAACCACTTCTAAGAATTAGGCAAGATAACCACTGGAGGGTATATGAGAGGAGTTGATCATCTGTGTATTAGCTAGAGTATTAGGGCACCATGTGACCAATCCAGTCCCAAGTCCGTGGTGTTCAAATGGCTGAAGCATTCCTAGCAAGTGAAAAATTAGCACATCTGTTTGTTGGATCAGTGAGAGGAGCCTACTGAGCCCTGAAACACCATGACAGATGGATCTGGTGGATTATTTAGCATTCTTCAAAGCTGGGGTGTTCTCCATGTAGGCTGGTTGGAAAGTTAAGAGTGCCAAGAAATACATGGTACTATATTTACATTATCTGGAGTTGAAGAACTGTGTAACCCAGATTCCACTGCTTAAGGCAACAAGCCTGAAATTAGGAGTGGAGAGGAACACCTACCGGTGAAGCAAAAGTTCGGATTCCACATATCCAATCAAGGGAAGCCTCCACTGCTTTCTGACCTATAGATTACACCTATAAATGTACCCTCAAGTACTAGATTAAAACCTTGAGGAAGGTAAGTAATCCTTTGTCAAGACTGAATGCATCTGTAGGCTTAAAGGCAGTAGAGTCCTTGTAGAAGAGCTTATTTAAGTGGGAACTTGAAAATTCAAACACCTGAAGCCAAGCTCTGAGCTTCTTGAGTGCCAGGCAGGGAAACAGTCCCTGGTAAGACACCACAGTACCCACATACTTCTAAAGTCTCAAGATAGGAAGGAGGAGTCATCAGAGAGGCCCATGTACGTTTGAACTGTGGTCTCTGGGAAGAAGCAAGCACTGTTTCTCAGTGTGCTAATGATGGTCATCTGGGGGTAAAAAGTGATGAGCAGCCCTGAGGTCCAGCTGCCCCCTGATAGGTGTGTCCCAGACAGACCCACTCAGCAGTGTACATTCAAGTTGTGGTCATCAGATAAAGCTGCTGCATTGTCTATTTCCTGAGCCCTCTACTTTGTCTCTGGGGTCTGAAATAGCTAAGGGCAAGTATTTGGGATTCCCTTCCTTTCTACCCAGGTACCTATGCCCAGAGTCCCCCGCCAGGTGACCAGTGTGTTTCTGCTGGTTCCCAGTGGCCTGAGATCTCTCAGTGTGATATTCTACTAGGACAGTGCCCTCCTCAAGAGAACCTCTGAATCCCTCTGTTTTGGACACCTGGAGAGGTCGGCCCTTCCTATTTGGTAATACCTAAGCTAAATACAATAAAGCCATGCCAATTAAGGGAGAAGAATGGTGTAGATGGGGGGCTGGCAAACTTTTTCTGTAAAGGGCTGGCAAGTAAATATTTTGGCATTTTTGGGCAATATGGTCTTTGTTGTAACTGCTCAACTCTGCTGCCCTGGTGCTAAAGCAGTCACAGATAGTACATAAACAAGTGAGCATGGCTGTGTTCAAATAAAACATTATTTGTAAAAACAGAGGACAAGCTAGGATTGGCTTGTGGGGCTGTAGTTTGCTAACTTTAAGTGTAGAAGAAAGAATATGAGACAGGAATAAAGAACCTGGCCCCTAGACACAGCCCTGACCTTAACTAGCTGCAAGCCTTGGCACAAGTCACCTTCTTCCTTTTCCAACTCCCATGCCCCCAAAGGGAGCAAGGTATAAAGAAGGTAATATATGAAACCCACCATGCACCTTATGTTTCTAGTTGTCTTGCTCATCTGTGGCCAATAGTGTAAAGGTCATGGGATTAGTTTGAACAATAACGGCTATCATTTTAAGCAGCTGCTATGAAATGACATGTGTAATCTCTCTGCTTTCATCTTTACACCCATCGAGGTAGATAATGCAATCCCTATTTAAGAGGTGAGGAAACAGGCCAGGTGTGGTGGCTCACATCTGTAATCCCAGCAATTTGAGAGGCCAACGTAGGCAGATCACTTGAGGTCAGGAGTTTGAGACCAGCCTGACCAACATAGAGAAACCCTGTCTCTACTCAAAACACAGTAACAACAACAACAACAACAACAAGAATTAGCTGGGTGTGTTGGTGCATGCCTGTAGTCCCAACTACTCAGGAGGTTGAGGCATGAGAATTGCTTGAACTCTGGAGATGGAGGTTGCAGTGAGCCAAAATCGCACCACTGTACTCCAGCCTGGGCAACAGAGTAAGAGTCTATCTCAAGAAGAGAGAGAGAGAGAGAGAGAGAGAGAGAGAGAGAGAGGAATGGAGATCAGGGAAGTTAAATAACTTGCCCAAATTACACAGTAGGTCAGCCTCAAGATCAGGATTCAAATCCAGGCCTATCCAACCACATCCAAGTTTCCCAAATACCATGTGACTTCTGACATAGGCTGAGGCTGCTTAGTTTCTAAGCCTTTCACTCTAACCAACCACTTTGCAGATATGGTCTCTAAAACACTATTTTCAGCACAGTTACTGAGTAATCAGATATAATTATTTCTATGTAAAAATTTGTCCAGTGGCTTCCCGTGAGTCCCTATCATAACCTACAAGGCCCCAGTGATCTGTGCTATCCCAGTCCAACCTTCTGATCTCTCCTCTCTGCTTTACTTTGTTTCTGCCCCAGGCACCTTGCTGTGCCTTAAGACAGGCCAAGCTGACTCCCAAATCAAAAGTCTCATACTTACGGGGGTCCTAAGCCTGGAGCCAGTGCTATTCTCCCAGTGTCAGCATAGCTCATTCCTTCACTTAATCGGTGCCTCAGCTTAACTGTCACCTCAAGAGAACCTTCCTGATCACTCTATCCAGAAAAAAAAAAGTTCTTGGCTTTCAATAATTACCTGTTGATTGCTGAATAAATGAAAAAATATATTGGAATGAAGTGACAGAGCGTGGCTGACTTAGGACCAGCTGCTCGGCACATTCCGAGGTTCAGACCTCTCAGCAGTGAGAAGCCTTGTCTCATGGAAGACAGGGTAGCTTGCTTGCCTATATCAGAACAAATCAGGGTATTGCTTTGTGTCATTCTTCAAATGTACCTAATACAGGAGAGATGGTACAAAACTGGGAGAGATTGGTCTCATGACTCTGAATGTCAGTTACAAGGTGCCTGAGGGGTCCTCTGCTTTTCCAGCTTCCAGTCTCTGAGCCACTTCTTGCTCTACCTCCTCCTTTGTTTGCCATGTTCCTCTTTGCAATAGCTGTTCCTGACCAGACTGGCCTCTCTCTTGCAAACTGTCCTAACCCACAGGCTTGAGGGTAGCATGAAGGCTTCAGATAACTGCTTTTGGTGGGAAAACACTGTTTTCATTTAAACCCTGTTACTTGATGGATGAAGAAACTGAGGATTAGAGAACTGCAATAGTATGGCCCAAGTCCTTCCACTAATTAGTGTCAGATCTAGGCCTACAGCCTAAGTCTCCTGACCACAAGACTAGTCCTAGCTCTACACTTCATGCAACAAATGGTGATAATACCCCATGCTGTTCATTCAATTCAACTCTACAACCATGAATGGAGCCCCCCAAATGTACCTGGCCCCATAATTGGTTAGAATCAGAGGTAAAATAATGAAAACTGTATAGCTCCTGTCCCCAAAGGGTTTACCGAAAGTTTGAATACATAATAAAAGAAATACAATTTTTTTTGGTATTGGAATGTTGGTTAATAGGTTAAGACAGTAACCAGTTTAAACTCAGTGAGTACTTCAAAGTACCTCTCTCAGAGCTTCCATAAGTAGTTAGGCTCAGGCCTCATTCTGGATGTGATTCTATAAGGAAGGAAGGAAAAAAGGAAGAAAGGAAGGAAAAGAGAGAAAAGGAAAGGAAAACTGAATGGTGTGCTGCCTCCTCCTTTCACACCTCACTTGCATTTATCTCTGCTGCTTTCAAAGGTCTTAAGCTGCAGGCTCACTCTTGAGAAGTTTTTCGGTAAGGATCTCACCTACTCTGAACTCCTGAGGGGAAGTGAAGGAGCTGAATCAGTTCCCCCCATCAGTATCCCCTACCAGGTCCTCAGCCAGGACTTCAACAATAATCTTTTAAATAATTGTAGCAATCTGTGATTAGTATTAACCACGTCAATAACAGGCATTTTCTCCATAAACCAAAGGCACAATTGAGGTCTTTTGGAACAACCTGGGTCAGTGACAGGGATTCCGATACCACCGACACCACCCAGAGGGCTAGCATTTGTCAATCAGCCCTGTCCTGCCTCCCCTTGGCTCAGCTGTTCAGAGACGACTTCTTACAAAAAAGAGTCCACTTCCAACTTTAGAGCAAATTTTACTTCTCCATCATCATGACCATAAAGTCCATAAAAAGTGAGTGAGAAACAGGGAGAGAAAGAGAAGGAGAGAATCTATGCAGGAGAGAGTAAGAGCCCAATCACGGTCAGAAATCATGAGCAAAAGTTGGCATTAACATGGAGACAAGTAATCCCTGGTTCCCTTGCATTTATATAAATACAATGATAAGGATAAAAGAGAAAGCAGACAATCAAGTAAAAACCTGCCTCTAGAAGCCTCTCTCCTTTCATTCTTCCCCATTCTCCCACCTCCCAAAAGACAAAGACACGCATTACAGACCCAAACTACTTCAGATCAACACTTGCCTGTTTACAGAAATGAAACCAGCTTTCCCTCTGCCTGACCAGGGATGCTTACCAGCTCGCGTCCGAATTCACTCGCCCACTCAACTCACATTTTCCTGCCTGTTGAATGCAAAACAATGGTCTCCAAACACTAGTTACCGATATTTAGAACTGTTGTTTTCCTACCCTGGTTAAAGACGCCTCCATGAGAGACACGGGACTGAGCTCTTGAGTTGAAAGAGGACCTGGGGGGTGGAGGGAAACCCCTTTGCGAATGTCCACACGGTCCCGTTGCCAAGGGAACCCTGGCTTTATCCAGGGAGACTGAGCATGGCTGCCTCTCCCACGGCCCAGCTCCAGGAGTGTCCAGATTACAGTGCAGGGTCAAGAGCAGAGGCAGGGGAAGTGCCTCACAGGCTTGGTGACAAAGAAATTGTTTACAAAGAGTGAAAGAAATGGTGAAAAATATCTTGGGAGGTACCCGGTGGGGAGGGAATAAGTTTCTTGATGATGCTGCAATCAGATTTTAGTTGCTCTTTGTGCCCCTGAAAGGAATGGGATTCGAATGTGTATCTGAAAGGAGACAGGGTGGGAAGGAGAGAGAGAATGAGACTGAGAGAGGAAAGGTTGAAAGGGTTGGGTTTCAGCCTCCTTCTGCGGATGCTGAATACTAATCAGGTAAACAATTATTTAGTTAAGATGCTCAGCTGAAGCTTTGGAATGGACTGTTGTGGCTACTGGATTGGTTGGAGGAGCTGTCTGGCTGTTTCCTAGAAGTCTGGTGGGAACTAAAGGGGAGATGGTAATATCATCTTGATAGTCAAGTAAGTTTTTGTTTGGCCTGCACTTTAAGGGCTGAGGTTGGCCTTTCATTTCAGAGTGAAATCTCTTAGGAAATGTGCCAAAGGAGGCACATTGTGTGCTTAATTTGAAAACCCATTTGTCAAAGGAAGAGTAGGTTGAGCAGTGGTTTGGAGAGCTTGATTGGACCCTGATTCCTCACCTAGTGCCTGGCACAGTGTAGATGTTCAATAAAACATTTGCTGCCTGAATAGCTGTTGAAGGAAAACTGGTTTCCAGCATCTTGCCTGTCCAGCAAGGTATCAGGATGAGTACTTGACAGATGAAGCAGTTGCTGCTCAGGGGACATGGCTTACCTATTGACCCACAGATGAATGGGAATGAAATAGAGGACTTGAGCCTAGAGACCCATTACTCTAGATCATGATGTCTAATTGCTTTTTTCATAATAGAGAATTCAAGGGAACTCTCTATCTAAATGTTGCTACTATACAATAGGAAAAAAATTGCAAGTAAATAAAAAGAAGTAGTAACAGGTATCTCTGCAGGTGATCTGGGCTAAACATGGAGTGAGGCTATTCATACTGAGTTACAGTGATGCACTCAGAAAAATTACACACACACACACACACCCCTGCAAGACGGTGAGCTTCTTATATTACTCATCTTCCAAGGCTTAGCTCTGGCATCAGCTACTCCAGGAACTTTCCAGTACTCTCCCCAACCTCAGCTTTCATAGCACTTTTTACAGATTTCCCCAGAATACTTATCACATGGATTTAGTTGTTGCTGCATGTGTATATAATCACAGGGAATGGCCCTCTACTACCAGAATAGAATCTCCCGGCTGGAAGGCACCCTGCTTCATTCCTTTTCTTTAAAAAAATCTCTTTAATACTTAGTAAAATACTTGTTACATAGGAGGTGCATGATACATATATTCAAGAATTGAAGAGCAATGAGTCAATCTGTGAGTGTTTTGTTGAGTGTCAGCTACGTTAAGCTCAAGGGAAAGTTCAAGTAAAGTTGAAGATATAGTATCTGACTGCTTAGAAAAGTGTAAAACTGATGTAACATGAAGGTGATTTGGTCTTTACCATTACTTAGGCTTATTGCAGTAAGTGCAGCTGAGAGTAACAGAAGTAATGCATTTATTTAATGGATGAAAACCAGCCCTCTCAGTGGTGCTGTTGGTCACATTGTGGCTGTGAAATCCCCGAAGCTCAGAGTTGCAAAAAGGCCCAGTTAGGTTTGCAAGGTACATGCTTATTTCTTTTTTTCAATATCCTTGGCTTTTTTGGCCTGTCTCTTGTACAGAGGCCTCATTTAAGGGTGCATTACCTAGTAGTAGACAGGCTGGAAATAGCTTGATCCCAGCACCTTCTCCACTCTACCATGCTGCTTATTTTAAACAAAAAGACTAAATCCAACCAAACCTACTATCAAAATACATATATTACAACTGGCACATAGCCACAAACCCCAGCATTTTAGACATTTATTATCATTTGGAAATATCTGGACTGAGATTTCCTTCTTATTCTCTTTAGGGGATACTGACATGATATATAATTTGCATGGCTGACAGCACTAACCAGGGGAAGATTCAGATCAAAGAGAGCAGGGTCCTGTCCTCACTACACCTTCATGTTGAAAACAGCAGGTAGAGGGTGTTAGGTGCTAAAATGAATAATAGAGGACGGATTCTTTAAGGTCATCAGAAGGTCACAGATGAAGACTGAGGCCCAGAGAGGTGGCTGCATACTGAGTGAGCAGAGATGGGACTACACTTTTAGACCGGAAATGCTCAGTCACAGTTTCCCTAGTGGGTTTCCCCCATGTCAGGTTCCTGTTCCTCCAGCCTGCCTCCCACTCTGTCCCTAGACTGAGCTCTCCAGACTGATCTTTCCACCTGGTCATGCCACTCCATTGACTTCCCTTTCCCAAATAATCAACTAATTTTTTCATTTCATCCCATTCTTTCTCTTGCATTTCCCTTTGCCAAAATGTGACACAAGTGACAGCAATGTCACTGATATCTCCCTCAGTCAGCTGGCAAGATCACTCTGCTTGAATTAGGGAGCAGTAAGCGAGACATCATGGAATGTTTGGTAGAAGGAGGCTAACCTAGGGTTATGTTATGCTAAGTGGCAGGAAGGGATGATATTTTGGTGCTCAGCATTCATCACAAGGTGCTGAGCATTTGGGGAAGAGAATGTGATTAGAAGAATGCCTAAAGGAAGGGGAAAGGAATTAGAATTCAGTCGTATCTACTACCCAAGTGCATTTCTAACTTCTGGGCACCAACTAGCTTCTACTTAAACCAATACACATATTGGAATCTCAAAGTTAAATGCCTACAGAGGCCAGGTAAGTGAGACAAATGAGGACAGTAGACTTTGTGTCAGGTAATGAAGAGTGGTGGAGACTACAGCAAAATAGGGACCAAATGCTACATGTAAAGGGGGTAGCAGTAACCTGGCTCCAGCTGCTTACTGACATGTGGAGTTGTAACCCAGGACTGCCAGGGCTTTTCATCTTTTTAAATGTGTGAAATTTCCCAACTTAATCATGTTGATTTCAAGTGTTAATAAACATTGTGTAGGTCAAACAAAATTACCTATCAGTGGACCACACCTAGTTCCTGGGCTGCCACTTTGTGATCCCTGCCCTATATGGAACTTTCCAGTGTGTGCATAAGTATCTGCAGGCAGGAGATAGCTGTTGTCAATAATTCAGGCCAAAAAACTTACGTGGACACATTCTCGGGGTAATAGAGAATCATAAACAATGTCAGCAAAAGAGAGGGTGATCCAGTGAACAGATAGAAAAGAATGGAAAACAAAATAATGTAAGATCTACACCTCCTCAGAAAGCTTGGCTTTGTTTGAAGTGGTGATGGGATTGATAAAGCCTTCCTTCCAGTCCTGGGAGCTGGACAGCTCCAGAGGCAGCCTTCCTGAATCCTGCAGGGAGGCTGGGCTTGTGGAGGGGTAGGGAGGGGACGTCGTTATGGAGAACAGGATTGCCATGCCAGGTGTGTAGACACACGTGTGGCTCAGCACAGGTTTTTCTTGTTCTCACTGGGCTCAGGCATACTTCTCCCAGCTCTTAGCCAGCATAAACTTAAGGCTTCACATCTGGGAGGGGCTGACAATGGTGAAATCCCCATTTCCAAGGAAGCTTTTTCTTTACCTGTGACCAGCTGTAGAGGAACTGGCACAAGTGCATGTGGCCCAGTCATTCACAGTGGCTGCCCTGCCTCTAGCCGTCTCTGTTTAAGCCTGAGGAGGAAATAACCCTAGGCTTCAAAACCATTTTCATTTCCTTTCTCACAGTGATGATGTTGTGACTATACCTCCTGAGAACTTGCCTTTGGCGTCATTTCAGCTCTTCCTTTTCCTTTAGTTATGATTCAAGTCTCACCAACTATTTTTGTACCAGGCTTACTAATCCCAAGACATCATTTTCTATTTCTACAGCCACCATCCTTTATCCAGATGCCCAAGATTCCAAATTCCTATTACTATTCACGGTCTGTGAAAAAGGGCTTTCTTGCCCCCAGCCTCTCCCCAGCATAGCCCCAAGCACCACTTTTATCACATCATCTCCTTCCCTATTATTTATTATCTCAAATTGAAATGCACAAACATGACCTGAAAAGACTGCCCCTCCTCATCCCTAACTACCACCATGTACAGCCTATCCAGTTACATTCAGGCAATAGACAGCCATTTTGGAATGACACAGACCCAAGTTTATATGATGACTCTGCCATATGCTCCCTGTGTGACCTGAACAAGTTATATAACCTCTTTTTCCTGCAGCTACCTCATCTTAAAATTGGGATAAATAATATGTATCTTTCATGGTTGTTGGGAGAATAACATAAGGTAATGCAGGTTATCTCATTGTAAGTACTCAAAAAATAGTAGCAGTCATTAACATTACTCTCCACAAATGTAGCCTTAGAGGGACAAAATAAGAGGGTGTTTGAGGGCCAGGTGCGGTGGCTCAAGCCTGTAATCCCAGCACTTTGGGAGGCCGAGGCAGGTGGATCACGAGGTCAAGAGATCGAGATCATCCTGGTCAACACGGTGAAACCCCGTCTCTACTAAAA